GCTGGATGAGGTCTGGATGGGAAGCAAAGTGCTGCTGGTGGAGCATAGATCTCCACCTGCAGCCTTCACCTTTCCTTGAACCTTCAGGTTCCTCATCCAACGAGCCCGGTGGCGTCTTCCACCCGGCCGTGACGATCCATCACCGACCCGTGACCGAGGCGCCGCTCCATTGTCTCGGTCAGTTCGTCCTCGTGCGCGACAGAAAACTTCTTTAAAAGCCGTAACGTCGGTTATGATTCATGTAGAAATCAATTATTTGATAAGTTGGATTTAGTGGAGCTCTTCCAGTCAGACTCTATTGTTGGTCCAACAGCAACACGAGGCCTTAAATCAGTGCAGATTGTTATTTCTGCAGCGACTCGGACAAACAGCGTCGGACGAGATAAGGCGCAGGAATCAATCCTTCATGCCCATCATCATTACCATCAGCGTAACGATCCCCTCCATCACTTTTCTATTACACCTCGCCGCCATCACTATCAATTATCCCCCGACCGCAGACCAGCGGGACGCCTCTCGGCCGGCTGGATCCTGGGCCGGATTGAGGCGTAATTGCGAGCGTCGGACATAAAGCGGGAAAAAAAGCAGGGGGAAGGAGAAAATCAATGCCTTAACTAAAGAAGCGGCTGAATTATTGATGAGCAGCGTGTAATGGGATCCCGGGTGTGTTCCTCCCGCTCGGCTCGGACCGCTCGCTGCTTCCAGCAGGAACATGAAGGTGCCAGAAACCTCCCACCAGCGTCTCCACGGCCGGGCTCGCCCACCGGGATCGGCCGCGGGGCGTTCAGGGACACGCCGGGCCGCAGGACTTCCAGGAAGAGTCGGAGGTTCAGCTCCAGTTCTTCCATCCATGGTGCAGACGGTTCAGGAGGAGATGTTTGGACCTCACACTGAAACATTGGTCTGGATTTGGAATGAGAAGCAACAGTTCTGTAGGTTTAGCTCAGAAATGAACAACAACGAAGGGAAATGCTGAGCAATAGTATGAAATTACACATTTTAAAACTGCAGTGTCCTCTTTATAGTCAGATGAAGTGGTTTCTTATATCATTTTAGTGGAGTTTTAATCCTAAATATGTAGATTTTCAGGCTAAAATCACACCTTGAATAACTATGTACATTCTCAGCTTGACTATAGTCAAACACAGTGGTATTTTATGTCATTTTTGTAGAGATTTAATCCTAAATATGTCCATTTTCAAGGTAAAATCTCACCTTTATTGACCATGTAGGGTCTCAGCCGTACGATAATCCAATAAAGTGGTGTCTTACGTAACTTTTATGGGGTTTTATTCCTAAATATGTACATTTTTAGGGTAAAATCACACCATAAATAACGCTGTAAGATCTGAAATTGCACATTTAAACCTGTTGGGTTCATGTTTGTGTTTTACTGGACGATACAAACGGTGACTCAGCTATATGTTTGTAGGACGGTTGAGTGATCAACTGAAATATACGGTTGATGCACATCAGTCCCTGTTTGCTTTCTGCTCTTTGGTTTCTGCACAGCAGACAGAAAACTGCTTTTTGTGGTAACGTGCAGACTGTTCAAAGCTAAACGTGGAGCTCGTTTCTGCTTTCATGCAATTTGTGTTTGTTACTCAGGAATTTAGTGAAGAGTCGAATTATTGAACTTATTACAGAGAAACAGCCAAAAAAAGGCAGATTTCTCTCCAGACGTGGAAGTTTCCATCCACTGAAGTCCACTAATGATTTCTGTAGGTGTGCTTGTCACTGGAAGCCGTTGAAGCACATAAATCCTGATTTCCTGCGAGCTGTTGGCGTTGAGGAATCACAGGACGCCTTGTTTACCCACATGTTGAGCTGCTGTTGGTTTTACTGCAGCTCGGGCTCGGCTGCAGGCAGCAGGAATGTGAATGGAGGTAAAGAGCGAGCGGCCAGGTGAGGCCTGAAAGCTGCCTTTGTGTGGCGGCTGGCAGCCAGAACACTGTCCTTCAGTGTGAGGCGCTCGCACAGGCCTCGACTGTACGCCGGCCGGCCGGCTGCGAGGACGATGTTTGGCAGCAGAAACACACACGAGGCTGAAAAACCGTTGCACATTCTTGAAAAAGGAAAAACAAAAAAGGTCCTTCTCTGGGCGACTCCGAGGTGAAGAGACGATTCAGAGCCGTGGAGTGACTCAGGTCTCGTTTTCTCCTCTGGCTAAGTCCAACGGGAGCTTGAAGAGCTCGATGGCATCTCTGTTGCTCCCACTTCAGTCCGTAAACATCAACGTTCTGCACTCAGAAGCTCTCCAGAGCGCCAGAAGACGTCTGCAGAGACTCAAACACGTCTCCAGAATCACTCAGAATGGTCCAAAATCACTTCAAATCTGACACGTGACTCAAAAATTCTCTAAAACGACCCAAAAGTTTAAAAAATGACTGAACGCTTTCCAAAATGGCCCAAAACAGCTCCTTAAAGCAAAACACAGAGCTTCTATCTGACAATCATGTGTTTGAACTCGGTCCAATTAACGATAGAATAACTGTAAAAATACAAATAATTAGTAAATCTATTATTCAGTTCATAGATTAAACACACTGCATGATGTTGTGTTTGTCTTTTTATCACAAAAATGACTGAAATATGAGAAGAAATTGTTCAAAACAACTCAAAAAAATCACCAAAATGATTTAAGATGTCTGAAAAATAACTCAACAATGATCTAAAATAACTTTAAATGAGACCAGAAGTTCTCAAAAATGCTCAAAAAAATCACAAAAAATGTCCAGAATGACCTAAAATAGGGGAGAGGAGGAGAGAAATGATCCAAACTACCTTTAAATTAGACAGAAGCTGCTAAACCAACTCTCTACAGTTCTTTTAAAAATTCTGTCAAATAACCTAAACGCTGACAGAAAGGACTTCAAGATCCAAAATTAGTTCAAAATATGAGAGTGACTCAAAAATAGTTCAAAATTGGCCCCAAAATTCTCCAAAGTGATTAAAAATCTCAGAAAAATAGATCATTATAAAATAACTTTAAATGAGATCCAAAGTGCTCAAAAATCCTCCAAAAAGACTCAAAAGATGCCAGAAGTGACCTAAAAAATGATCCAATATAACTTTAAATTAGACAAAAGTCCGTCACAAATTCTCCAAAATTAAAAAACAACAACAAAGTAAATCACATAAATATTGACAATATGACTCAGACATGACATGAACGTTGTGTGAAACGTCTCCTGGCTTCATTTGAAGACACCGTTAGCTGATGAGCAGCTCTGAGAGCAGGTCCATGCTGATCGTTGGATGTTTTATCTAAAGCAGGACCTTTATTTCTGGATCAACACCGTTCTTTGGCCTCACACGGTTCTGTGTGTTCACGGCGACTCCAGACTCGCTGTAGAATCTGCTGCCGGCTCCGGCTGGAACCGTCGTCTCTTTGTGGGGATGGAGGCGGACTCGGCGATCAGCTGCTTTCGGATCACGCCTGGATGCCTTTTTGAGCGTTTGCTGACTTTACTTTTGTCAGTTTTCTCCTGCTGAGCTCCAGCTGAGCGGGATTCTGACGGCGTGGAGCCTCTGAAACAGAACCCAGCCGTGCTGCCTGGTTTTATGTGTGTTAGATGTGATCAGGTTACATATGTCCAACCGAAATGAAAGGCGACGCAGAGTGGAGCTGACATCTGCCGGGCTGAGTTTACAGCATCTGGGGAGAAGACAGCTTCTCTGCCGATGCTGCTGCTGCTTGTTTATCACATTTTCTTTTCACAAAAACAACACGCAAACTGTCTTTAAAGATCATTTTGGCATCAACACTGTGGTCTGCAGGAAGCGTCACGCTCATCAGCCACAGCAAGAGAGGCTGCATGATGAGCTGAGATGCTTCACTTTAAAATGTGACATTAGAATGTCTTATTTCAAAACCAAAATGCTTTAAACTTTCCCAAAATAACTCAGAGATTGTTCATAATGAGGAAAAAATCTCTAATGATTAAAAAAATAAATAAAAAAATCTTCTAAATGACTCAAAATTGTCTAAAATGACTTAAGTTTTGTCAGATGTTTTAGAAATTCTCTAAAAGGACTCAAAACTTTCCAACTTGACTCAAAAAATGTCCAGATTTACTTAAAATTTCACAATAAATTGGACACAAATTGCTCAAATATTCTCCAGAATTAAAAGTTTCTCACAATTTCTCCAAAAATATTAAAGTTATGTCCACAGGTGTCCTAAATATGAGCAAAAAGACAGAAAAAATGTCAAAAACTGCACAAAACACGTCCGAAATGACCTAAAATATGAAAAGAACGACTCAAAAATTGTCCAAAATGACAAAAAATTTGACTGAAATGAATCAAAAATTCTCTAAAACGATTCCAAACTTTATCAAAGTGTCTCATAGATTCTCCAAAATGATTAACAAAAAAAATCTAAAAAAAGACCTAAAATTTAACAAAAATTGTGAATAAATTCCCATAAATGACTCAGAAGTTCTCTAAATGACCCAAAACAAAAGTTCTTCTGTTGGTTAGACGGAGGTTAAAGGAGAAACCTGTAGAATTCTGGATCTGTTACTTTAGAAACACCAAAAACAAACCGGGTTTCTCAGAACTTTGAACTTTCCGTCTAGTAAAAAAGTTCTAATTGTCAGGATGCTGGTGCCGCTGTGACTGACGTGAGTTCTTGTGTGTTTGGTTCTCCTCAGGACGGGTTCTGCAGACGGAACCAGGCGCCATGAGGCAGAACTGGGCCTCCATCACTGCCAGCCGGGCCGGACACCAGCAGACATGCACTCAGCAGCAGGGACGGGTTAGCGCACAGATCTGAGAGCAGATGGAGAAGACTGAGAGAGACTGAGACGGGAGTCAGTCGGATCGGACCGGGCCACACTCGGAACCAGCCATGTCCTTGTCAACACGTCGTCCTCCGCTAGAAGCTCCTTGTTAGACGTCACGAGTCAGCAGAACCCCTGTGAGGCGCCAGAGCTGAGGGGAAGCAGGAGGAAGCAGAGCGAGACCGAGCAGAACCAAGAGACAGCGACGGACCCATGCAGGCCCGGAAGAAGTATGTCCTGCTGGGTCTGTGTGCGAGCTGCTGGCTGCTGCTCTTTTACTGGGGGGGGGGAGTCCAGCTGCGCCTGCTGCGGCTGCTGACGCGCCAGCGGGCCGAGGTGGTCCGACCGTGGCCCAACTGGACCGACCGGGCCTTCCTGCCCCGCTATGCCCACCTGGACGAGCTGCAGACGGACCCGGGGACGGCCGAGTCGCCCCGCCAGCGCCGCCAGGCCTGGTCGGCCATCTACAAGGACAGCCGCTGCCGCATGGAGACCTGCTTCGACTTCTCTCGGTGTCGGCGCCGAGGACGAGAAGGGTTCCGGGTCTACATCTACCCGTCTGAGAAGAACGAGCGCGTGTCGGAGAGCTACAGGAAGATCCTGACGTCCATCGGCGAGTCGCGCTACTTCACCTCGGACCCCCGCGAGGCCTGCCTGTTCGTGCTCGGTATCGACACTTTGGATCGGGACCAGCTGTCAGGACAGTTTGTGCCCAACGTGGACGAGCGTATCCGCGGCTACCCGCTGTGGAACGACGGCCGGAACCACCTGATCTTCAACCTGTACTCGGGCACGTGGCCCAACTACACGGAGGACCTGGGCTTCAACATCGGCCAGGCCATCCTGGCCAAGGCCAGCCTGAACACGGAGCACTTCCGGCCGGGCTTCGACGTCTCCATCCCGCTCTTCTCCAAGGACCATCCCCAGAAGGGCGGCGAGCGCGGCTGGCTGGTCCGGAACACTGTCCCGCCCAGACGGAAGTACCTGCTGATGTTCAAAGGGAAGCGGTACCTGACGGGCATCGGATCGGACACCAGGAACGCTCTGCATCACATCCACAACGGGAAGGACATCGTGTCGCTGACGACGTGCCGCCACGGGAAGGACTGGGAGAAGCACAAGGACGCCCGCTGCGACCACGACAACCTGGAGTACGAAAGGTAAGACGGGTCACGTGGTCCACTGAGGGCAGAACCACCTGGCGGGTTTGTGTGAGTCATCAGTTGTCTTTGTTAAGTCAGACTTTCTACTTCAGAGGCGGTCGGACTGCAATAAATACCAATAGATAATCAATGTTCTGATCATCTGTCAGCTGCAGCACCAGCAGAGTAAACGGACCAAACATAGAAACGTATTCATGTGATTTCTGTATCTGCAGCTGAACACAGGTAGGTTTCCATGGCAACAGGATGCTTCCTTCAGTGGTTGTAGTAACGTACAGATCAGCAGGTTTACAGAGAAAACATCATCATCCAAACAGAAACCAGGGTAGCTCCACGGCATCAGTTACCTTGGAGATCTGGCTCCATGGCATCAGTTACCGTGGAGATGTAGCATCATAGTGTCAGTTACCATGGAGATCCAGGTCCACAGCATCAGTTACCATGGAGCTCTGGCTCCACAGCATCAGTTGCCATGGAGATCCAGCAGGTTCATGCAGAAACCTCTTAGTGACAGTCAAGACTCTGACTTCCGGCCCGACACACCTGCTGACCCGCTGACCCAGCCTCGTGGTTCGGTCCTCTGGAAGTCTTGTGTTACTCCTTCGTGAGGAAACTCAGCGTGGCGGCGATGTCGTGCTTGTGTTTGAGCTCTGTAGCGTTTTATTGCTCCTTCAGATCGTCAGTGATGTTGCTTTGTGTGTCCCCGCGGTTATTTCTGTCTCCTTTCTGGCTGCACAGTTGGTGACTGTTTGAGTTTATGATGTTTGGCAGATCAAAGATTTCAGACGCAAACTCGTGTCTCAGGAAATTCAGATTCAGGTCAGCGTTTCCAGGAATCCTCTCATTTCTCACATTAGCGCCGTTAAAGCTGCCGTTGGTTCGGTTTCACCTGAGCTGACCTTTGTGATGTGGAGTTTGAACAAAGCGTACAGACGAACGAATGAGCGCAGCAGAAACAACGCGTTCTGTTGGTGTTTGCTGCTGTAGGAGCAGGAGGTGAAACTAACGAATTACTACAGAGTGTAATGAACCAAAGCAAAGGTCAGCGCGGAGAGCAGCGCCGTGAAATCTCTGATTATCTGAGAGAATGAAACCGCTGCAGGGTTTGAGGGCTTTTTTTTAATCAAACTGTCCGTTTTTGTAAAGGGGCTTCTTGCTGCTGTTGGCGGATGAAAGACGGTGAAAAACGCAGCAACATCTGTGGAGTTTTATTATTAAAACTAATTAATTTCTGCATAATCTCGGCGTGATGTGAGGCGAGCGCTCACAAAGGCGTGTAGGCCTGTTTATATACGTGCTGCTATACGGGCCTTTTGTTGGGCGCCGTTGTGTTTTAATAATGATGAGCTTCAGGAAACTCGCCCATCTGTCTGATTCATGTCGGGGAACGTTCGGCGCTTTTCTCTTACTGGCTTACTGGAGCTGAGACGGTGAAGATTCACCCGCCAGCTGTTTGCTGATAAACCTGAAGACAGATGTGGCTGGTTGAAGGTGGTTTAAAATAGTTCTGCACAATATATTGTTTCAGTATCTACACTGTGATCGGCACAATAGTCACGTTGCAGGAAGCATTAATGATTTTAGCCTCCTGCAGTTAAACAAACATGATGTTTAAAATGTTCTGCTCACAGTCCAGCCCATGTTCACTAAATTTTAGAATCCACTGATTCAAACAAAAATTGTCCATGACAAAAATAATATCTAGTGTTACTCAAATATTTACCAAAAAGACTTAAAAATTGTCCAGAATAACGAGAAATTCACAAAATATATTGAAAATTTCTCTAAAATGACTCCAAAATTCTTTAAAAGAACTCAAAACTCGTCTTAAATGACTTTATATCTGAAAAAATGACTCGAACCCTCTAAAATGACTCCAAACATTCCAGTGATTCCAAAACTGTTTTAAAGTTCTACAAATTTGACACAAAATTTCTCTGAAATGACTCAAAACTTGTTTGAAATTACAGATAAATGGTCCAAAATGACAAAAAATATCCCAAATCAATCATGTGTTGTGTGAAATGACTTAAAGTTTGACAAAAATGGTCCAAAAAATTCATTAAAAACGGCACAAATGTTCCCAACTGACTCAAAATTCACTAAAACGACTCAAAATATTTTCCACAATTATTTTAAAATTGTCCAAAATAACAAGAAATTCATAAAATATACTGAAAATTTCTCTAAAATGACTCAAAAATTCTTTAAAAGGACTCAAAACTCGTCTTAAATGACTTTATATCTGACAAAAGCGACTTGAACTTTCTAAAATGACTCCAAATCAGTTTTAAAGTTTGACAAAAATGACACGAAATTTCTCTGAAATGACTCAAAACTTGTTCAAAATGACTGAAAATGGTCCATAATGACAAAAATATCCCAAATCACTGAAAATGATCAAAGTGACTGAAAAGTTCTTCAAAGTGGCTCAAAGTTTGTCAAAAATGGTCTGAAATTGAACAAAAGTGACTAAAGAATTGTCCGTAATGACTCAGAACCGTTTGGTGACACAAACATTTCTCTGTTTTTTCATCATTTATTTCCAGCATCAAGCAGCTTCGGTTTGAAGCCATTTTAAAAATCCATCGTTTCCATGTTTAACATAAAAACCTCCTGATTTGTTCCTGTGTTTAACTCCAAACTATTCACAGCCTGAAACATGCAGTAAATTTACGACCGCGTTGTTTTTGCTTCCTAATTAGTTTGCGTCGTCAGCAGTTAATTACAAACCTCCAGCATCTGATGTAAAACTTTAACTATTCTCATTATTACAAAACCACAGAGACGTGAATCTCGCTGCCGGAAACGTTCTGAGCAGCTGATCTGTTCGTGCACACGTCATGATGTCCTGCTGTGGTTTCTAGAGTTCTGCTGCAGCTCCGTGCAGCGGAACCAGGTCCAGTTTCTCTGCTGCTCGCGTCGACTTTGCAGCAGAAGCGTGTGAAGTGCTGACAGGGCGTCCTCATTATAAAGTCCGATGGTGGACGGATACAAAGAGCAGAGTGGCCCGACGGTGCAGAACATCCAGACAGCAGATGATGGATTTCAGAGCGAGGAAGAGAAAGTTACTGTCAGACCGAGGCCAGAAAAACTGCAGAGAGAAACCCAGAGCGCCATCGAACCGACGCAGGAGCCGGAGCAGACGAAGAGAGTCCACGTTCTCAGAAGG